TTCAGAGCCCGGCCCAGATTAGCCACAGGGCTTGACTTGACTATCGATACAACTTAAGGGCTCAGTCCAGATAAACCACGGGGCTCGAAGTCCTGAACAACAACTTCTGGACCTGGCTCAACTGCCGATACAGCAGCTGTCTTGCAAGCCCACCGATGTGTCAGTGCTGCTAAGGTAGCTGCCCTGAAAGGCAAAAATGGACCCTCTGGATACCTACGCATGCTCCACTGACAGAGGCGACGCTGGGGGGGTGAAAATCACTCCTGACAACCCTGATACGCATGCACTAAACAGGCGGAGAATGGGCAAAGCGGCCCTTGGAACACTATATAATGCCACCGTGGACAGATATTCTTTGGAGCTCCCCCCTATTGAATCGAAACAGGAGGACCTGCGAGGCATCACTGGATCTTGCTGTTCTAAACGTTTTACTGCTTCGCTTTTCCTTTTCCTTATCTCTCTTTCCTATTGCTCTCTAGTGTTTGTTAGTCAATAAAAGGTTTTGCTTTGGTGACATCTGACACCGTTTGTGTCTTAATTTCACCTCTGCGGTCAAAACGAATCACCTTGACTCTAACTTCTATCAGGTATAAGTGGGTCAAGACACCTGGCCAAGATGTTACTTTCTCCAAGACAACTAGGATGACTTTCTGAGGGATCTGCATTAATGCTTAGTGCCAGAAACAATGGCACCTGGGGGTATGAATTATGCTACACCTTGGAATAAATGCAACCAAACCACAGTGCAACACGAACAGAACAATTCGGACAAGTCAGGTTTGATCAGCGCTCTCAGGCACTGCTTGGATGTGTTGCTTTGTCCTTTCTGAGGACAGTGCTTACATTTGAAACTTTTCAGTGTTTGCTGCTGTTGAGGAAATGGTGACACACTGCTGGCTCTGCTCAGGGGACAGGGGAAGCAGCTGTCTTTGCTGTCACCTTTTTCTTGCAGCTTGTTCCTGAGTGACACCTTAGAAACAGGCCCATGGGGCTGCAGACTAATTACATGACTGAGTTCTTCTCAGGAGGAAGTTACAGAATAAAGGTCAGATCCAAAATGTTGTAAGCATGCGAAATAAGCAGGTAGACTGCAGTAAACCAAAGCAGCAGTCAAATAAGAGCACCCTCAGAGGCTGCCTAATTCTGAAAGTATTTGGGAGGACTGAGCCCTTCCAGTCTTAGCACCTGCCAGTCAATTGAAATCAGCACTTGTCCTGACCTTTCTTCCTGAGCAGTTCAGTGCTTAGTGTCTTCTCAAGTCTGACCAGGGCGTCTGCTGCCCCACCGCGGCCAAATCTTGCACGTATGTGTTGCCGGAACAAGCTTCATGCACTGACAGTCCCATTGTCACAAAATATATAAGGACACAACACAGGAGAAGGCAACAGTGGTTATAATACCCGGACCCTCCACCACCACCGACAACCAGAATATGAGCAGTAATCCAGTACTTGCAGAAAACACCAAAACGGACAGGGGTGTTGATCTGCTTGAGGATAGGAAGGCTCTACAGAGTGATCTGGACAGGCTGGATTGATGGACTGAGGCCAACCGTATGAGGTTTAACAAGGCCAAGTGCCAGGTCATGCACTTTGGTCACAACAACTCCAGGCAGCGCTACAGGCTTGGGCAGGAGTGGCTGGAAAGCTGCCAGGCAGGAAAGGATCTGGGGGTGTTGGTGGACACCCGGCTGAACATGAGCCAGCAGTGTGCCCAGGTGGCCAAGAAGGCCACCGGCATCCTGGCTTTTTTCAGAAATCATATGGCCAGCAGGACTAAGGAAGTGATTGTCCCCCTGTACTGGACACTGGTGAGATCAAATCTCAAATCCTACGTTCATTTTTGGCCCACTCACTACAAGAAAGATATTGAGGTGCCAGAGCTTGTCCAAAGAAGGGCAAAAAAAGCTAGTGAAGGGTCTCAAGAACAAGTCTTATGAGGAGCAGCTGAGGGCTAAACAACTTAGCCTGGAGAAAAGGAAGTTCAGGGGAGACCTTATCACTCTCTACACAGCCTGAAAGGAGGTTGTAGCAAGGTGGGGATCAATCTCTTCTCCCAAGTAACAAGTAATACAACAAGAAGAAATGGGCTTAAGTTGCATCGGAGGACATTTAGATTGGAAAATAGGAAAAATTTCTTCACTGAAAGGTTTGTTAAGCACTGGAACAGACTGCCCAGGAAAGTGGTTAAATCACCATTCCTGGACGTATTTAAAAGGTGTGTAGGTGTGGTCCTTAGCAACATGGTTTAGCGGTGGACCTGGTATTGCTAGATCAACAGTTGGATTAATGATCTGAAAAGTCTTTTCCAGTTTAAACAATTCTATGATCCTATGACATAAAGGACTCTAGTCATAAAAGCTTTCCCATTGCTTCCAAATGTTACATCTACAGTGAAAAGGCCACATCCTCTAGTCCGGAAAGACAGCATTTGAGATGACACCAACATGCTTCATCCTTGCAACAAGGAGAATCATCACTTACTGTGAAATCTGTGGGAAATTCAGAGGGCTGCTCCTTCCAGGTCTGCCTTTCTCACTGACCACTCTGTTCCAGGGGTCACTATGGGCTCAGGGAGCCCAACTCCCTTCTAACACCCCAGCATGCAGGGTAGGTCATGCTGCATGGGCACAACTGCCTATTTCAGGTCTCATTTCTGAGGACCAGGCTCAACCAACTTTGACACTGTCACAGCTCAGCTCAGCACTTGAGTTGTCCAACAGGACTCTTCATTCAGAGGCTGGAAATGCAGAGCTGTGCACTTGTGCATGAACAGCAAAACACACAGCACCAAGAAAAAGCAAGGGCAGAACAGCAAAATCCTGGTCCTGTGATAGGGATGTTATTTTGGGAGTGGGTAAGTAAGAACTTGGGCTGCAAGCCCCAAGTGTCAGGTCTCTCAGGACTGCGTTTGCATTTTACAATGAACCGAACAAATAAAACGCCTGTGCGTGTGCAGCTATTCTTCCACGCAATTAATCCTGCGCTCTTTGTTCAAACTTGCATGGTGACCTTACACACCTTCTAAGCAGGTCCAGGAGGTAGCAGGTGACATTCTATTGCTATTTCCAGATAGTTTTAATTCAACAAGTAGCAGAGCAGAGAGGTCTTTTTCCTGACTGAGTCCAGTGGGAACAAAACACAATTGGCAAACTCCTGTGCTTAGGTCCCAAGGTCTGGGTACTTGACCTACCGTTATATCTACAGCAGTAAATCAACGTGCCTGGAATGACTTTCTGACCCTTGAGCCAAGTGAACAGAACAATTTTTATTGGTATTTCCAAACTTTTCAAGTCTCCCGAGTGCATGTATGTGAACTATCTAGCCGAGATATTCCCAAGTCCATATTGACTCTTTAACCATGTCTGCTACATACAATAAGTTTAAGGCCAGACAGTAATGGTGGGCCCCAGCTATTGGTATGAGAACCAATGTTGTTTAACCTCTTATTTAACAACCTGGAAGATAGGATATTTTACAGACATTACAACACTGAGGGGAGTGGTTCATACATCAGAGGTTTGTGCTGCCAGCCAGAGAGGGCAGGAAAGGCTCTGAAAGTGCTGGTGGGTAACAAGTTGTATGCAGGCAACACAGCTATGCAGGCAACACAGCTATGCAGCCAACAAGGCCACCATCCTCCTAAGTCTCATTATGAGGTGTTGCCAGCAGGCTGAGGAAGGTGAGTTTCTACTCTGCTCAGTGCTGGTGAGATATCTAGAGTACTGGGTCCCACTCTAGGCTTCCCAGTACAAGTTAGACATAGATATAGCAAAGCGAGTCCATCACACTGCCATGAAGACATTAAATGGATTGGAATATATGACCTACAAAGGAAGACCAAGAGCTATGACTCTTCAGCCTACAGAAGAGAAAGTTCAGGGAGATCTTATCAATGTGTACAAATACCAAGGACAAGGGTGGAAGTAGACACTATCTAGCCACAGTCTTCCAAGTGGTGCCCAAGGAAAGGACAAGAGGAAATAAAAAAATCCCAGGAAACCATTTGCATACAAGGAGGAAAAAACCCAAACCTGCAAGAATGATCAAACATTGGAACGGGCTATCTTGAAAGGCTGTAGAGATTCCATCCTTGGTGATATTCAAACACCAACTAGGAATGCTCCTTAGCGACATGTTTTAGTTGACTGCGCAGTGCGGTTAAAACAGCAGTGTCTCCTGAGGTCCCTTCCAGCCTCTATTATTCTATGCTTCTGCAGTTGTGAACAGCTTTTCACAGGAAAACTGACACCACCACTACTCAGATCTTGACATCCTATGAAGCTGAAAGCCTATTTTGCCCTTTGTATCAAACAATGACAGCACTATTTCATCTTCTGTGGAACTAAACTTCCCACGTGAATCTGGATCCAGTAACTGTTATAGCAGCTATGCTTACAAACCTTTGACCAGGGACCCACATCTCTATTAGTTCAGTGAACCGTACCTGCAGTTGAATCACGCCTTTAATTTCAAGGAAGAGAAGAAAACAGTTCTTCTGAATCCATGATAATAACACCTTATATTCAGAAATAAATGGAAGAATGAGACAGCTCCTCTCAGATCTAGGATGAAGCTAGCAGCTTCTGGCTTTCCTCAGATGGACTTACCCACCTAGCAAGTACAGGAAGAAGCTATACCAACAGTCTGAGAAAAGCTCAGCCTGGTGGGCAGATTCTCACCAATGCTTGTCCAGCTTGATTTGGTAAGCAGAATTGTCATTCTAATTCCTAAAAAGCTAAAAGGGTTTTACGTATCTGTACAGTTCACATTAGATGAGTTGAAATTCCAAGAATTTCAGGAGGTATTAAAAAACAGGTCAGTTTATTAAATTCTGGATTTAGCCATAACTATTAAATCTAGACTCAAGACGTGTAGTACAGATCCCCACCCTTTAAAATGGAGTGATAGAGATCATCAAGTTTATGGCTGTGCTGCAAAGATGGTGGAAATGTAAAGATTTTATGAAAAGATTTATCCAAGACCCAGGCAGACTGAGCAGAATTAAATGTGCATCGAGATGTGCAGATCATTATCTGACAAGTCACCCTGTGTACTAAATTATTTTGCTGGAACAACAGGTGAGGAAGCAGTTTTTAGTCTTATTCATTTACTCTGTTCACATCCATGGAAGTTGGGTTCTGGAAAACGTTTACAAAAATTAATTGATACATTTGATAGAGTTGCCCCTTCCACCAGCACTGTGTGTGCAGATTGTAACTTCAGACATTACAGAACAATTGGATATAAACACTTTTTTTTTCTTTACAAATTAGCAGTATAGCGGTCTCTGTTCTGAAAGTCTCTATAAGCACGTTTTGCATCTGTTTTACTGTGCGGGATTCTTCCAAAAGGTTCCAGATCATTGAAGCATGCATCAAAAACTTCATCCACAGCTTTTTCTGCCGTTTCCTTGCTAACTTTTCTAACAGCCAGAATGGAACGAATTGCTCTGTCTCGTACACAAGTCTAAAGTGGAAATTAGACAAAAAAAAAATCTGTCATTATTAGTATTAATATATTTTTCCAGATTGTCAAGCATTAACTCGCACACATACACAAAAATTTTGTATCACAGGAGTCAAACAATGCCTGTAATAAGCACAAAAGTACATTTTTGTTCTATCCTGTGTTAACTATGTGTTTTAGTCTTCCATGTGTAAATAAACCATCAGATAAGTAAGAGATATTCCTGACAAGAGAAATTAAAATACAATTTGGCATTTGTTGTAGGTATAGAGTACTTGTACAACTTGACACAAGAAAACACATCAGAAGGAAACAGGTATAAATATCACTAAATTCCTTCCCAAATGAAATGCTATAAAACATAAAGGAATGACTCCTCTACTGGCTTTCGACATCTCTCTTTATGGCAACTTTTGCTTTCACAGTTTGTCTACTAAAAGATAAAAAAAGATCTAAACATCCCCAGCTGCAAACTAACTGACGCTCTAACAAGAACAACCACTTGCAACTCAATCCACAGCCCGCATTACTATTAAAAAAATTTCCTATAACATATGTGGTTATTTAGAATTCTTGTCATTGTCCTTTCTCCAGTTTTCAAAGACTTTGTAGTGCTCTACTCACTTATAGGGGGTAAGGCTTTCCCACTACATTTCCTGCAAACTCTGTATTTTGTTCGGTTCTTATCAACCATCGATAGTCAGTGGTAATGCTCAACAATACAATTAAGTATTATGAAATTTCACTTCAACAAAAATAACATGGTGGAAAAAAAATTATCATGAATTATTAAAGGCTGATTAAGAGAAAGCAGCAAGTCCATGGCATCTACTTCTCTCTGTGATGTGTTCAGCGATGAAAGTGTAGAAGACCAAGATCAGGTACCTAAAGATGGCTTGTAACAAATCAGTAGGCTTTAACAGTCTTTACCTGATGATGTCCTTTTAATCCAAATTTAAACCTGGCTATTTCATTCATCAGTGTGCAGTCTCCACTAAGATTAGCAGCTCGAATCTATTGAGAAAAAAAAAAAAAGCCACACAGAGAAACACACTGAAATATGAAGTCAAAAAAGCTCTAACAATTTTTTTTCTTCAATGTTCCTGGTGACTGCTGTAGAGACTATTTCCAGGGCCACTTCTACAGAGTGTACACTGCCCTTTATAATAACCCTCTCAGTCTCAGTGAATTGCAAATTATTGCTATAGAACCTGTGAGTTTCTCCAGGCACCAAGCCTCACATATTCCTAAAGGTGAAATGAATGAGTAGAAGATCATGTGTGCACACATGTGTATGTATATATACATATATGAACTGCTAAAAGAACACGGAACATGTTCTCCCCAATAGATATGTTCTGATATAGATATCAGGAGATATCTAAATCAGAAACAAGAGTCAGGAAGATACCTTTCTAAGACTAAGCTGCAATATCAAGGAAAGGAGTAATTCACCAGCTTTAGTAAAAGCGACATTTAAATGAGTATGGGTGTTTTAACTTGTTAACTGTCTCATGCTGTGCACTGCAATTTCTTTTGTCTGCCAGCTGTTCCACACCCTACCCTCTCAGTTGGGCAATACGACTAAAACTACATTTCCTGTAATTAAGTACCAGAGAGAGAATAAATGCATAGAAAATGTGAAACGCAAGAATTTAAAAAAATGACAATAAAAATTGTAAACAACATATAATAAGCACCAAAGCCCTGAAGCAACCAAGTAATTTCAACAAGAACAAGAGCAAGTACAGTCTTGTCTTATCTACGTTCTCTAAATTTATCTTTGAGGCTTATATGTTTTATTCTGAACTGTGTAAATGCTTGGACAAAAAAAAAAGTAGATGATATTTAATCATTCTGGATTATTGTATTGGGTTTATATGACAAGATGTTGGCACTGTGGGTGGCTGCTGGCTTCTGTGGGACAAGAAAGTGGGCTGCCTCCATGCCAGACAAAGAAAATTTCAAGTAGCTCTAAAACAGATCAGCTATTGGTCAAAGCTCAGCCCACCAGCACTGCTGGTGGTACCTCCATGATAAAAAACACTACATGGCAGCTGTGAGAGAGGAGTGATAAAAACATGAAAGAAACAGCCCCACAGACACCAAGACCAGAAAAGAAGGAGGGGAAGGAGGTGCTTCAGGCACCAGAGCAGGGATTCTCCTGCCACCTATGAAGATGACCATAGTGACACAGGTTGTCTTCCTGTAGCCTGTGAGGGATCACAGTGGAACAGATACCCACACTGCAGTGCAAGGAGAACCCTACACCAGAGCAGATGGACATGCCCTGAAGGAAGCTGTAGCCTGTGGAGAGCCCATGAAGGAGGAGGTTTTCTGGAAGAAACTGTGGCCCTCGGGGGATTGACGCTGGAGCAGTCCATTCCTGGACCATATGCTGTGGAAATGACCCAAGCTAGAGCAAGTCTTGAAGAACAGCAGTTCATGGCACTTCTAAGAATATATATTTCAGCTATTTCATGCATACTGGCTTCAGGAAGAATAAGTTTCGGGTGCAAACTTTTTGCATGTTCTAAATGCTGCGTGTCCAAAGAAGAGCAACAAAGAGGGTGAAGGATCTTGAGCACAAGTCATTATGAAGAGCGGCTGAGGGAACCGGAGTTGTTCAGCATGGAGAAAAGGTGGTTCTACAACCATATGAAAGGAGGTTGCAACGAGGGGGGTGTCAGCATCTTCTTCCAAGTAACAAGCAATAGGGCAAGACAAAATGGCCTCAAGTTGCATGAAGAGAGGTTTAGATTGGATATTTAGAAAAATTTCTTCACCTAAACGGTTGTCAAGCATCGGAACAGGCTGCCCAGGGAAATGGTTGAGTCACCATGCCTGTAAGTATTTAAAAGCTGTGTAGGTGTGGTGCTTAATTACGAGGCTTAGCAGTGACCCTCGCATTGCTAGGTTAACGGTTGGACTCAATGATCTTAAAGGTCTTTTCCAACCTAAATGATTCTATGAAGGCTTGTATCCCATGGGAGGGACCTCACACTGGAGCCGGGGAACAGCACAAGGAGTAAGAAGCAGCAAAGACAGAGTGTTAGAAACTCACACAGCTCCCATTCCCCTGTGCTGCACAAAGGGAACAGAGGTAGAAGAGTCAGGAACAAAGAACTGAGGCTGTCATGGGTTAGGGCTGGGCTGTCCACTAAACGCTGACAGACACTCTCTAAACTCCTCTCTGTCCCCAAATGGGATGGAAAAGGGAACAAGGCAGAGAGACTTACAGATTGGAAAAAGAAAATTAAAACAGCTTTAATGAATAAGGAAACAATAAAAATAGTGAACTATATACATATACACAAAACTGTTATCAAACCTGACCCCTTTGCCAATAGCAATCCCCACTGATGCTGCAGAGCAGGCGGCACCAGGGAAGCCCCAGGCCCAGCGACAGAAGGGAGCTGGATACAGGAGCTGGATCCTGGAACTCTGGATCAGGATCAAAGAAAGAAGATCAGACAGAGTCCTCCCTGGATGCCGGCCATTGAAGAAGAGAGGCCTAACCTGTGTGATCCCTCAGTTTATACTGAATATGATGTATATGGAATAGAATACTCTTGTTGGTCACTTGTCCTGTCTGTTACTCCCCAGAAGGTGCAACCTTCTACTTCCTTGTGACCCCTTCCTGGCACTCCCAGTGTGGCACACATGAGCCAGCAGTGGCCTTGGTCACTATAGGAATAAGTATCAGCAAGAGCCTGTCTGCATCCCAGTCCCAGGCAATAACTGTAAACATCAAGTGTTATCACTGCCAGTAGCACACACTGTCTGCAAAAACATGCTGCTGACTTCAGAAAGTGCAGCCTTTTAGAAGAGATTGTGCTGAGAAGTAAAAGTCACTGAGCAGAATTAGTTCTGTTTAGTTCAAACCAGGACAGTAGAGAAGCCTGGGAAGAAGGAAGGTATTTTTCATTTTATTCCTCATTATCCTACTCTGTCATTAATTGGCAATAAATTAAACTAATTTTCCCCAAGTTGAGTGTACTTTGTCCACGATGGTAACTGCTGAGTGACCTCCATGTCCTTATCCAGACTTTTTAATCTTACTTTTCTCCCCTGTCCTACTGAGGAGGAGTTGGAGAATAGTGTGATGGGTGCCTGATAACCAGCCAAGGTCAATCCCCCAGAGTTATACAGAATGGCTTTACTGATAGCGCATAAGGTTACCTCATTAAGTCTTATCTATGAAAAGTTAAGCTAATACATGGCTGTGACTCTTCCACAGCAAATACGAATTGAATTAATGAATTAAAATTGATTTTTATGAAATCTGATTCATTATGTATCAAACATCAAGCAAATATTGCTTCTCTCACATATGTTTTATAGTTGAAACCTATGCACATCTTAAGTCTGGAATCAAATATGTTCTCATTAAAAAAACACAAATAAACAAAAACCCCAAACACCTCAAAATAAAGCCACTATAACATTTTAATATAATTTTATATTTTTTAAAGAGTTTAAAAGCCACCTAATTTACAGAGTCACAAGAATGCACTTTCATAATATTAATCTTTTTTTTTGTGGTCAAATGATATGGATTACACCAGAAATCAACTAAAAGCATGTGAATACACCTAAGTTGTGTGCACAAGAGGAATCCTTACTAGCCTGTGCTCATTTTTATTTCACCTCTTAATGCATCACTTTTTAATGTCTTTCAAGCAGCAAACTCCCATGTCCTCTGAAACAAACAAGAAGTCATAACTGAAGTGTACTATTGGCAACACAACTAATCAAAAAATGTATTACAGAAAAAGACAAGTTTGCTGTTAACAAAAAAAATCTAAACAAAAATAAAGTTACCATACTACTGTGATAACTACCCAAAATAACAGGATTTGCAGGGGAGAAAAAGAGCCCTATAGATATGTGATTAACGTTTGAATGTGTTGTCATCTCTAACTACACTCATTTGTTAAAAATGACTTCTTGTTATCGTCACACTCACAGTGGCCACATTCTACCTACTATGACATCGACTTACTAATATTTGTGAAAACTAAATACTTATTTTCTGAATTAAGCTATTTAGGTTGATATGACAGAAAGGACACAATGTATCAACACGAAGCAAAAATAAATTAAAGCAAATGAACTCTGCATAACAGCATGTCTACTTATACATGAAGCATCCCTAATAACTGGCAGTAATTAATATAATGACAAGATCAGAAGTATTTTAACTTACCTCTGAACATGCTAGGTGTTTGACATTTTTAAACCAGTCAACATGTGCACGGCAATGATCAAAAGCATGAATCAATTCATGTGTGACCACCCGGTTCATATGAGATTGCTGACGAATGTTGTTCTGACACAAAACAATCTGTAGAAGAAAAGATAGAGTTAGACTTTTCACCAAGTTTCAACATCTCCCTTAATTCTCAGAGACCCAGCACGCATTTAGACTCTTTAGATCAGTGTTTTTCATAAAAAGCCTTATCGTAATGCAGCATACTAGTTCCAATACCACAGAACATCTTTCATTTATCTTGTTTTTAGCACTAACTCAGATTATCAGCATCAGTAGATTTAATCCTAGCAACAAAACACCAAAAAAATTAACAGTTCTTTTAAAGAGAGAAATGTGCTGCCTACCTGAGATGTGGCGGAATCAAAACCTCCACTGACACAGCCATCACAGTTTTCACAAGAAAAGTGCCGGTCATTAAAAACAGTGCTGAAAGGCCAAAATTAACAAAGTTATAGAGAAGAATTTGAAAATGACCAATAACTCCATATAATCATGATGTTACTACACAGAACAAAACGAATTAGTTTACATACCAACCAGATTGCTTCATAGCCTCAAGAAGAAGTTGAGCATGTGGATCTAGAAAAACATTGCTGCAATCAATTTCTCTAGACAAAAGTTTTGAAAGTCATCTATAATTCAAAATATAAAGACAGTCAAGAGAAAAAAAAAAAGGAAAAACACTACACATCCACAGTTTGCAGTATTTAATCCTAACACAATGCAGCTGCCATCTGTTATAGCTCAGGCTATGTAAAGTGATACAGAATCATGAGAAGGAATCATGAGATATACAAAGCTATTCTGTAATCAAGTCTCTTCTGACATTATTTCCTTAGTAGCAGACATAAATACAGTGGCCTATAGTGACTACTGTCTTCAGTATCACTACATAGTGAAAAGGTCACAAACAAACCAAAAATCAACAAATCCTCTCACATTTTTGGCAGAATGAAGTAAAGAAGGATGTTCTAATTGGGCAAAAAGAGCAAACGACAAACTAAACCACATAGCCACTTTTGAAAATGTATTTTCTGTGTCTTAACTAAAATCAGCACGTTCATCAAGGTGCAGCAGACCCACTGCATTCAGAAATCTACTGTGTTCGATTCTGGGCACGTCATTAGAAGGATATTGAGGCACTAGAGTTTGTCAGAGAAGGGCAACAAAGCTGGTGAAAGGTTTAGAGCAGGTCTTGGGAGCAGCTGAGGGAAGTGGAGAAAAGGAGGGTACGGGGAGACCTCATCGCTCTCTACAACTACCTTAAAGGAGGTTATGGAGAGGTGGGGGTCAGCCTGTTCAGCCAAGAAAAAAGTGAAAAGACAGGAGAAAAAGGGCTCAGGTTGTATCACGGGAAGTTTAGGTTGGGTATTAGGAAGAATTTCTTTACCAAAAGGGTTATCAGGCACTGAAATGGGCTGCTCAGGGCAGTGGTGAAGTCACCATCCCTGGAGGTGTTTAGGAGTCCTCTAGACACGGTGTTCAGGGACACGGTTTAGTCGAGGACTTGTCAGCGCCAGGTTAATGATCGCACTCGATGATCTTAAAGGTCTTTTCCAAC